CAAAAGGGAAAGTGAAATAAATGTGGCTTCTTATCCACATACAACAGAAGAAAACGGACTCAAAAGTAGAAAAGAATTTTCAAAGGTCTTTCTTAGTAATTAGTCAACAAGTCAATGTGCTACGTGTCGAGCTTTCATTCATTATTTAATTTCCAGTTCCTTTTTTTTTTACGTTGTTCATCACTTCACTGTGGAAAGTAGGCTGGTAGACCCCATGCAGCTTGCTTTGGATATTTTAAAAAGCATGTGTTATGGGAATTAAAAATAATATTACAAATATTTATGGTATTCCGAAATAATAATAGTTTTCATTTTATAAAATTAATATATATTTTTATTCCTTACATTTAACATAAATATTTATTTTTAATCCCAATTAATTGTCATTATATGTATTAGTTTTCAAAAACAACATGATAATCATGTTGTTCACTTTATATTACAAGTAATGAATAAGGTCAATATTAACAGGTTATAAGCATTTCCAAACCAAGGCATTAATTTGAGGAAATTGCTCTTGAATTTTATAACACATTGAAAACATGACGACACACTTTTGTATTAACAAGAAACAAGAAGCATCCGACAAGCACATTACCCGAAGCACATAAACTAATCGAAGTTAAATCAAATGAGTTTGGTCAAAGTGGAAGTGAGTGTCAAAATCCATCTCCAGACGTTGAGAATCTGTACATGATTCCATCTTTGAGGGCACAATGGAAGGTTTCAATGGTTGAAAATCCTTCAAACCTGACCACAGGTAATTAGGATCCAACATGTGTTCACTCAGTTTGTCTTCTTTGGGAAATTCTTGTTGTATAGTTAGGCTTGGTGAGCTAATGTGGTGATCATGTACATGTAATTAGTACCTTGGTGTCATGAACAGAATTCAGAAAATATGATTCCCAAGTAGTAGAATCTTTTGCCTTGGAGGTTGCATTGCATCAGAAATTGGTTTGGTAGAATTAACATTATGAGTCTAGACTATGTTGTACATATTATAGTCCATGTTAATTTCATATTTACATTAATAATAAAGGAAATTATTCCATTTCATATACACATTATTTTGAATAAATTTAGTCTTATAATTACTTCTCAAACTTTTTTTTAAAAATAAATTTCCCTTTTCAAAAGTCTTTTAATTAATAATAATAATAATAGTAATAATAAAATTATTCTATATATATATATA